TATATAAGAAAATATATTTTTCTTCATTAAATTATATAAAATGGTTCACTTAAGCAAATTTTCTTCAGTTAACGCAATATAATCTCACTACAAGTTTTCTTTAATTATAGGTTGGCTCCAAAATAGTTAGTATTAATTAAATCAGATGTGAGAGATAGCAAAAGCGTAATAATATTTGATAACACATTTCTTAGCTTACATTATCACATCTTTAATAAAGCTTATCTGTTTATCGGTGGCGCTTTCTCTACAACATATATATATATATATATATATATATATATATATATATATATATACAGGGTGAGTTTTAATGCTTGTGTCAATCTTTTTACCGACTGCATAATAAATTGATCGGTACATAAATGTCAGTTATTTGGATCGATCGTATCTAAGGTTCGAATATAATATATATATGTGTACTGTTACGTCCCGGTTACCAAATAATAGAAAATTACAATACCGAGATGGTTAACATAATTATTTTATTCAAATGCCTCCCATATTTTTCAGTCACCCTGCATTTACCGGATTTATTGGGGATGAGGGAGATTGTGATCTATTATCAAATTTAAATTGAACTCTAAATGAGAGTAAACAGGATAAAAAGATAAAATAAAATAATATAATATAACTAAATGATTAAGTTAACTAAAAAACGCAATTGATTATGAAGTAATGCCAAAAGAATGAATAAAATTAAAATAATCAAGATTAATACAGAGATTATTAATTCTTTCACTTATTACACTTATTAATAATTGATGATAATTAAGTAATAGTAATTGATCTCAAATAATTGGATAATCAACGAATATAAATCGACGTAATAACTATAAACCAAAATAATAATTATGAACTATAATAATAAAGGACCGTACAGAATAATTATACCAAGTAAAATAATAATGAAAAAACTATGTTAAATAATTCGATAGAAATTAAATTGATGACATTACTTTCAATTATAATATAATTAAAGAAAAGGATTAAAATAATTTTTAACTCACCAAATTTTAACTACTCCTTACTTACTGGGAAAATAATTGATATTCTTCTTTCCTTCTAAATCTGTCGAAAGTAGCGTTCGAAAGTCAAAGATCCAACAGTGTGAATTTTCCAAGGGATGACAGATTTCAAAATTCGGCGGTAGAGAGTTGGTTCTCAATAAAATCTCGTAGAACTTTCCATTAACTCTACGTATATTGTAAAAAATATAAGTGTTGTATAAAATATAAGTGTATAAATAGATACTATCAAGTCAGAGAATGATGCAGTGAACAATCAGCGAAAATCAGAGTTCGTCCTAACTGTAGGCCGGAGAGAAAACTTCTGGTGCTCCAGTACAATGGCCGGTAGGCGCTATTCTTCCTTGGTACGAGTCGGTGGGGGATTATATAAGGCGAATTTCGTCATCTTCTTTGCTCGTTGGAATATGACCGAACTGTCCATTCCCGCGATAAGAATCCCGTGGGCGCATCTGGATTTTTTCATTGCCTGGCTCGGGGCGGTTTCGAGTGGTAGACAGTGGATATAAAATATGCCTAAAAGGGCGAAATAGCACGAGCTTTTGCCATTCGTGGTAAAAGCTCACACATTAAACTGTCCGTTGGAATATCGATCTGTCAGAGCTTGATATGCGGATGTTATGTTTAGCTGATTAACGAGAGCGAGTCGCCGTGTGAAATACATGAATGAACCTTACAATTTTATTATAGATTTACTTCCTTCTTCCAACGTCGGCTATGTACAATTTTGAATTTTTGTTCTTATTACCTAGACCCGATATTACTGAAGTAGAATAATTAATTAACCAAGAAATTTACAGATGATGTCATAATGAGAAATGGACCACCAGTAATGGTCGTTATCTGTGATTATGGTTTACATTCCATGATAGATAAACGCTCGCCGAATCTTGCAGGCGTTTTAAAATCGCTCATTTGTGCAATGCATTATTCGTGAACGAATTTATAATTCTTTTATATCTTTATAAATTTAATACTATAACTCTAATAAATTTAGTTAAAATAGTTATTAAAAGTAACTAAGTAATTAAAATATAAGTAAGATTAATTAAACCATGATTAAAGATAAATGTAATTATAATGCTAATAAAATAATATTTCCTTCAATCTTGCCCTTTTGTGATTAGATGGAATTGTGCAAATTTCAATAGGGTAAAGAAGGAATTTACTTGTATGGTAAAAAGAAGAAAATTATTGGTCGGGACGTCAGTACAATTAAAGCAAATTAATACCTGAAATTATGTAGTATGGATTTATTATTATTATTATTATTATTAAAGTTACATATTTGTTATTATTATTATTACTATTATACATATATTCGGGCCTTCGATACGGTCGATCAAATAATTGACATTTATGTACCGATCAATTTATTATGCAGTCGATAATCTCCCGCATGATAAAAAGATTGACAAGCATTAAAGCTTGTATATATATATATATATATATATATATATATATATATATATGTATGTATATATATATATATATATATATATATATTGTGATGTGACGCTTGGCGGTCCGTCACAAGGATCACGAGATCTGACCGGTAATATTTTTGGGCTCTCGTTCTCTCCTGATTTAGGGAGAGAGAGTGACTATTGGAGGCGAGGGTAGACTCGCCTCCCCTTATGTAGAGTTAATTATAAGAGTAGAATTAAGTGGACGTGAGGGAGGACGTTGACGAGATCTCATCCGGTGACTCGACCCGGCGCAGAACATCAGAGTAGAAGACGCGCGGGACGAGCGGAGGCGCCGATTATAAGGAGAATGCCGAGCTAAGTACCCCTCTCTACTTTTATAAATCGGAAAAACCTATTTGAAACATCGCTGCCGCTCCTGTACATTTCCTTATGCTCAGTAGGTACGAGGAATAATCACGGGGAAGGTCGACCAATAAACAAAAGCGAACATCGGAACTCCGAAACAGAGTCAACTCGACCAGATCAAGCGCTACCGAACATCCATAAAAATAATGGCGGCTGCCGGAAAACTCCTCACACCAAGCTGTGGATAAAGAGCCGAGAGAAATAGAACGAAGCAACAGGGAGGCGACAGGCGCAAATATGGCCCTGAAGGCCGCAAGAGTCATTAAAATCAGCGACGATCCTGAGGGTTGCGGAAGCGCCACAAGTGGCCTACTTACGCATCAATTGCCGACATAGTTCCGATGGGCCTTCTGCTCGTCACTGTTCGGCGGACCAGCGAAGAGCACGACGGCCCAAAGAGATAGATTTTTCGTGTGAATGCCTAGAGAGCCAAGGACCTCAAGGAGTCATCGGTGAGACGAGCGTCGATCTCCTCAGGCCGTTTTATCGTTAGAATATTAGGTAGATATAGCCCGAACAGAGTCCATGCCAAATTGCTGCCGTTGAAAAATTCTTAACGCGAGATTAGTTCGAGTTACGAGAAGTGCGTAATAGAATGCGACGGCCGGCCGACATACTTTGTTCGAGCTACGATAATATTAAGTGCCCTCTCTCCCGGTTAAGCGCCGACAGTCAAATTTATTGTCTTCTCTTATTGCGATTCTTGTTATCTGTAAAATTATTTGTAAAGTAGATGGTAATACAACGAACTCACACACAAAGACGATCGCGATATTTGATAGCCGGTAGATGCGTTGTGGCATCGACTCGCGTATCTCTGCGAAGTGAATTGTTCGATTCGTTATTATAGTTTATTGTTCGCGTTTTTGATATTTTATTACCGTTAATTGTTCACGTTCATGTTCGATCGTTTATCTTGTGTAATTGCTTATTCGCTCAATTCTTCAGTTATTATCGTAATTCTGTATTTGTCTGATCGACTCACGTTACTAATCGATTCTATTAATATCGTGTTTGGCGAATTTAACTACTGTCATTATATTTAAAATTTTTGGCTTACAACAGACGGATGTCATTACTAGAAGCATCATCACGGTATTCATTATTATTAATAATTCAAGCGGAATTTGTAGGAGACCCTGTGACGTCTCGTTTAGCGCAACATTCCAAGACTTTCTTACGCTTTTTTTTTTCTATAGCGCGACACGTGATACCGCGGTGATCGCGCTCGAATGCCGGCCCGTCGCTACCGGAAAAATTCGCTATAATCGATTGTAAAATATCTTGCAATATCTACGTGAATCTGTCTCGTGTTAAACTTTATCTATTTGTTAAATATATTCATTCTTGTTATTCTAATATTTTGTCTTATTTGCAGCCATCTTGTATTCTCGACCCTTCCTTGTTAATTATTAAAACGGACCGCCCCCTCTGCCATTTCCGAGACGGGACTAGCCGAGCGTCCGTCGCGATTAATTGAGTAGCGTTTTTCGTGTTTATTATATCGAGATATCGAATTACTTGTTTTAAAGTGGTGCGGATTACCGCACCTGGCGCCCAAAAATTTCTGGAGACAAATTTGATTAGAAATCGCGCCGAAGGTATGCCGTGGGCCAATAACACCAGCCAGATCTCATTATCAGCCCTATTAATAAAATCTACGGTCCCAATATATATATATATATATATATATATATATATATTGTTGAATATAGTTATTTAATTAATGTTACAGAAAAATATTACATTTAATAGAAAAAAAGTTTGATTATAATAAATCCAGTAAGGAGAAATTCATGCGATTTAAATTTTTATTAAAAAGTTAAAGCAATAGAATCAATGACGCTGAAAATAGTACGTGGAAAAGATTATCAATTATATTGCATAACAATTGGCGAGTGTAAATTTTTTATAGTATAAAACGTACATTATATATTTGAATAGTTCAAAGTTTCCTATGATGTTAATCAATACTTAATCATTTAAAAAGATAAGTAAACAGTTCGACATTCAACTACAAATCTTATACTTCTCTTACTACTTCTTATCCCACATGTTCGTTTGAACTTTATAAATTTTGCTTACTTTATAAAGCAAGACAAATATAATTTCATTTGCAATCGCATAATGCCGCAAAATGAGACTGTGAGACTATGAGTTGCGCGACTATGAGAAACGATTTATTACTCATACATATGTAATGCTCTTGTGTGTTCCGCGGTATACATTATTACATACAGTACTTTCTCGCGATTTTTCGTCGAGCTAAGTTTCTTTTTGATCTATTTCCAAAGAAATAAACGATAAATTACGCTACGAATGAATATTCGAGACATTTGACCGTCTGTTACAATATTTTCCTTCGATAATATGATAATACGAAATGTCTTTCTACGACAATCACTACTATTACATCAATAAAATGTTACTGTCTCTCATCGGTCAATGGCCATTTCAATCTCGACTCGAGGGTAACATAATGTTCGTCATTACGCTGTTTTTCATTTGCAGTCTGACTATCTTAGAGGTGTTCAAGATGCATTTAATATATACGGTAGCGATATAAATTAAAATTGATACTCATTGTTTTTTCGTAACTTTTTATAGTTATGGGGACTAATAGCTGGAATAACAGATTTAAGTGTCATCATAGAGAATGTATCGCCGTTACTGGTGAATAACAGCGTTTTTATAAAGCTAATCAACTCTTTGTATAATAACTATAAAGTTCGTACATTACATTCTACTGCATAAAGTTAATGTAATTGTTATTTATAATTATAAATCGAATGATTTCTTCGAGTTGCAGATGAAAGATCTTCTTGAACACATCGAAGAAACTTGGAAAATGACGCAAACTAAACCAGAAAGAAAAATACTAGAAAGTTATGCGGAACAAACCAAAACGTTGACAATACAATATGCAAGTGAGTAATTAATTTTATAAAAATTTAACAAATATTTATTATATTGTAGTTGAATATTCAATAATGAAAATTTAATATTATTTATCGATATCGCTCTATATAAGTTTAATTATAAATTTGCTTATAAAGATCATTATCTCTTTCAATTTTCTTTTTCAAATCATTATAATACATAACACATCGAATATTTTATGGAATGCAACAGTTTTATCACGTTGCAATCTTTATACATTGGCCTCCTACATATTAAAAAATCTTTTTATTAATATAATATAATTTTTGGAATTTTTCTTTAAAAAATCTGAAGAAAAAGAAGTGATTTGTTTCAGTCACAATTTATGCAATGTGGATATCTTACTCTACAATGCCATTTGTCATCAAAGGAATACATTTGCTTTTACCTTCAAATGAAACATACCCAGTAAAATTTCTATATCGTTTGGAACATGTTCTCGACGTGGACAAGTATTTCAACCTTTTAATGCTTCATGGAATTATTAGTATATTTTATATAGTGTCGATACCGATTGCTGTTGATACCATGTTTATACTTTACGTTCAACATACCTGCGCATTATTTAAAAATATATGGTATGTCCAGTCTGTGAATAAAGTTGCAAAAAATGTTATAATTAAATTTTTTGTGTAAACTAAATTATCTTTTGATTAAATAGCAACATGAAGAATATACGAAGCTCAGATTTTGAGATGCTTAAGCCGGATATAGCCAATGATGAAACCTATCATATTATAATTAAATATGTCAAATCCTATAAATATGCTTTAAGGTTAGCGCCAATTTTTTACTAAGAAATGAAGGCAGCTTTCACAATAGCTTTAAATGCTTGAATAATTCTACATAGAATATTATATATATATGTGCGTATATCTTTGTGTATCTGTGTGTGAGTTAATAGTAAATTAAATTAATTATAAGTTTAATTATATGTTTATAAGTAAACTGATATATTTTCGTCATTGTTTTACAAAAGATTTTCCGATCTTCTATCATCTACCTATACGACATGCAATTTTTTCTTATTAGGAAACGTGATAATATCTTTAAGCTTCAGTGCAGCTGAGGTAAATATTTCATAAATTTGAAAATTTTGAATAATACTTTCTTTCTATTTTGCAATATCTATAATAAAATCACGTATTATTTAAGTTAATAATGGTGGCCAATGAATTAGATGAAATTGTCAGAATTATTGCTTCTAATATGGCACAATTGATACATATATTTTACTTGAATTTAATTTCTCAACGACTGATCGATCACAGCAGCAGACTTCAGGAAGCAATGTATGCATAAGTTGATCAATAATATTAAAAGAAATATTAAAAGGAGAAATGAGAATATTAAAACAAATCTTATATTAATTTTTAAAAAAATTTTATTTAAAAGAAAAAGTTAAAGAAAAAGAAATACGAAAAAGTAGAAATATTTTTCAATAATATATAATATTTTATAATTTTATACTCTGTGTATCTGTGTGCATTATACATATATATTATTATTACACAAATTTGAATGATTTATAAATTAGTATCATCATTTGAACGAATGGAAAATAAATACTAAATTAATGTATCAAATATATTAACAGTTATAACTGCGATTGGTACAAATTATCCCTAAGATCCAGACATCTATTGAGATTCATGTTAATGAGGGCCATTAAACCATGTTACATAAGAGCTGGTAAAATGTACGTAATGTCACTGGAAAACTTTAGCTCGGTACGTACACATTATTACAAACGTTTGATGATCACTATGTTGACGAAAATGCAAAGTCTTTCTTATATTATTTTCAGATATTACAAGTTTCTATGTCTTACTTCACTATGCTTACGTCTATGCAAATTTAATTATTTAATAACTATTAATTTAAACACTAGTCTAATTTAATGCATTATTACAAAAAAATTGCATTATTAAAATGTATTATTAAAAAAATTTTTAAATTTATTAATTTAAATGATATTAGCTACTACTTTTATATAAATTATGATCTTAATGACTGATAAATGTATATGTGTATCTCAATATCTCGTCACAATTATTAATAATTAGAATCCTAACATATAATAAAAGATTGATGAAAAGAGAATGAGGTAACTTTTTCAATTCTATTAAATAATCAGAGTTATAGTTATGCCATTATACTATATTTCTTTTAATAAACGGAATCCAAAGATTCATTTAATAGACAATTTTATAATATCTCATCTCTTTCGTGTATTTAAAAAAACTTAATAATTTATTTGCAAAAATAAAATAGTAGATATTTATTTGTATATGTGCTTCCATATTTAATTAACATATATTTAATGAATATTAATAAATTTATAATTTATATACTTGTATTATATAAAAAGATTATCGAACAAATTGATAAGATAATTGTATAAAATTTGAATAAATTTATTTAAAATTTTTTTACATATGTAAAATATTTTCAAGACACCGTAAATTTCATTTCTCCATCAATTTACAGGCTTAAACGTTTGTAGCATCAGTTGGTATAATAAATCGTTCACACATAGTATGTGACATAGATAAAGAACGTAACGTTTTACCGTATGTAGTTATATTCGCACTAATATAAAAAATACAAACATTAAAGATATAAATAAAGATATAAGGATAATAGAGATAATAAATAAGATAAAGATAATAAATAAGAAATAAAGATATAAATTACCGCAAGAGTCCGCCTTAATTTATTATGGCTTATTATGGCCTTTAATTCTATATATATGTTAGACTTAAAAATTGAAAACGCTCATTGAGCGAAAAAATCGATCACAACGCGATTTGGTTTCTCAGAGTCCGTCACAACGTGAAATTCGTGTCGTGACATTTTCGGAAACGCTCATGACGCTTTTTCGCACATTCAAAAAGATTACAAAGCGAAATTTGTTTTGAAGTTTTATCGATCAAAATGCAATGTGAAAATACCACAACGCATTGTGAATATTTATTGATTTCTGGTTTAAGAGAGCTGGAGTAAGGGCGTAAGCAAAATGAATTATTTTTATTTCTTACGCCTACTCTTACTCTTACGCTTACACTCGACCAATCAGAACGCAGGAGGAAAACCCAGGAAGGTTAGAACATGAAAACGGAAGATCGCTCAAAAACGTCGTTAATTGCAAATGTGTTTTGCTATTGTAATTACTTTATTAATAATTATTTAACGTTTGACTGTCGAGATGGCAACGTCACAAACTATAGCATTACTCCACCGTATTGTAGATTGAGTCAGCGTAAACAGCTTACGCCGAAAACGTTACTCCTACTCTTACTTCTTACGCTAAGCTTACTCCACTTATTGTAGACGACATTTAAGACAAATAGCAACCTATTATCAACAATAATTACTGATTAATTAAAGTTCCTATCACAATATTTTATTTGATTAAAGTAGTTATAGTATTAATAAAACTTTATTTTTTTATAATTCTCAATCAAGAAGACAAATTGTTGTCAATTGTTTTATTTCATGAATCCTTGATACTTATATATGAAAAAAAAAATATTCAAAATCGAAATTAAATTTGGGTTAGGTTACATATTGTGCGTCAATGAACATTTTCACATTTCCAGAACGCGTTTTGTTCGATTATCAAAAGAACTTCAACGCAAATTTCGCTTTGTAATCTTTTTGAGTGGCAAAACGCGTTTTTGAAAGTGCCACGACACGAATTTCGCGTTGTGGTTGAATCTGAGAAGTCAAACCATGTCGTCGGTTTTTTCACTCAGCGTTTTCGACCTTTAAGTCTAACATATATAAATTAAAAATATATTATATTGTGACATCCTGTTAAATATATTGTTTTCCGATTCAATTGAATGCACAATCGATTTAATAATATTTTTTAGAATTAATTAAATCAGAAATAATAAAATTTAATATTTTTTAAAGAATTTAACCATTTCTCCTTTTTTAATTATATAATTGATATAAACAAAAAATATGTTAATATTATATTAATCAAAAATAATATTTTAAGTTAAGAAAAAATTTTTTACTTTCAAAAGTTATATTAAAAAATTTATTATAATAAAACTTATTATAATAAAACTTATTATAATAAAAAAATTTTAGTTTGTCATTGATGTATATCAACTATTTAAGATCTTTGTTTGACAATATTTTCGAAATGATTCTTTACCTTGATAGATTCATCAAACGCTTTATTTTTAACTCTTTCGTGACCAGTGGAATATATAATATATGTCCCACATACACATAATTTGGCTTCTCCGAGTTCATTGGAACAGCAATGTACTGGAAATGATAAGACAGTTATTACAGTAACACAAGAAATAAAAATTAATTCGGTCACGAAAGGGTTAAGGAGATATAAGTAAATAGGTTAAACTTCACTTGCAAATATCTATCGTATTATTCCTTTGATTATTCCCCGTTTTCCATGTTCATTTAAATTTTATGAATGTCTTCGCTTTGTAAAGCGAAAGGTATATAATTTCATTCGTGGTCGTATTTTGCCGATTACAAAGAATTGTAGGATTGATTGCAAAAACAATTTATTATTTATACATATGTAATGCCTTCTGCTTCGCAGAATCGCACATCCTTATATATTCTCTCGCGGTCTTCTCTACAATCCTAGATTCCTTTTTGAAACTATTCAAAGAAACACGATAAATTACGCGAATAAGCGATTGAATATTCGACGAGATATTTAACCCTGTCAGATAGTATTTTTCGACTTGATAATACAAAATGTCTTTCTACGACAATCACTATTATTACATCAATAAAATGTTACTATCTCTCGTCGGCCAATGGCCGTTTCAATCTCGAATGGAGAGTAACGTAATGCTTGTTATAACATTGTTTCTCAGTTGTAGTTTCACGTCCTTGCAGGTATTTAAAATATACCAGATACACAAGAAAGCGATACAATGGAATCGAGATTGATTGTCTGTTTCCGATATAGATTTGGGGTTTGATAGCTGGAATAAGGGACTTAAATATTATCATGGAGACTGCTTCACCATTATTTATAAGCATTCTCGTTTTGTTGAAGCTAATTAATTGTTTATGTAATAAGGATAAAGTTTGTATATTACTTTCTGTCGTGCGAAATTAATCGGGTTGTAATTTTGAATCGTGCGATTTCTTCGAGCTACAGATGAAACATCTTTTAAAACGTATCGAAGAGACCTGGAAAAGGATACAAATAGGACCAGAGAATAAAATATTGCAAAATCATGCAGAACAAAACAGAACGTTAATAATAAAATATGCATGTGAGTAATCTTTGAAGAATTTTTCTGGTATTAAATAAGTATAATAGAGTATTATATCAAAAGTCTATGATATTTTTTAACGTCAACTTTTTTTACTGGATATTTATATTTCAATCAAAATATCTTCTACTACATCATCAACTATTCTTTTCCTCTTTGTTATTTTCTCTAATAATTGTAAGAGATTGAAATATTTTAAAGTCTTCAGTTTTAATTATTTTCGAGCTTTAGAAATTAAATTTTTTTTGTATTCGCTTTCAGTGAAAAAATTTAATGAAAAAATTTTTTTTATACTTTTCTTTAAAAATTCTTACTTTTTCATTAAAATATTATTTCTGGAGCAAAATGTGAAAAAAAATTACTCGTTGTAGCTACATTATATATCCTGAGTACCCTTTATTCTACAATGCCCGTCGTCGTTAAAACACTGCACTCGCTTTTACCTACGAATGAAACTTACGCGACCAGGTTTCTATTTCGCTTGGATCATGTTCTCGACGTGGACAAGTACTTCAATCTACTGATGCTTAATGGAATCCTCGGTATATTCTTCTTAATGTCGGTGTGGATAGCTGCCGATGGTATGTTCATACTTTGCACTCAGCATGTCTGCGCATTATTCGAGGCTGTACAGTAAGTCGAATACCGCGAATAAAATTGCAATACGCGAAAAAGGTGTCTATAAACAGAATTAAATTTCAATTAAATAGGTACAATGTGAAGCGCATACAAGGCTCGGATTTTGTTATAGACGAGCCGAATATAATGGACGATGAAGCGTATCACGTTATAATTAGTTGTATCAAATCATACGAATATGCATTAAAGTTAGTTTTAGTAACATCTTTAAACTGAAATACGTGCCGTTTAATTTAATGAGAAGTTAAAGAGAAATTATATAAAACTGCTGCATAATGTTAATTCTTTTGCTGTTTCATATATAGCTTAATTTATATGTATTTCTGTAATTATGTAATCATCTTCTATATCTTGTTTTAATTATAATTATGTATATATATTGCAATTTGTCTTAATGCGAAACAAGATTAACGAGACGTTGCATTCATTTAAATGAATCAGTATATATTTGTTTCATTATTTTATATGAAGATTTTCCGAGCTGCTCTCATCCACCTACGCAACACATTTCCTTTTTTTGCTAGGAAATGTAGTTGTAGCCGTAAGCTTCAGCGTAGCTGAGGTAATTTTTCAATAAATCTTAATTCTATTTGCATTTCCATTCAGTACAATTAATAAACTCGCATATTGTTTAAGTTGATAATGATGGATATTCCGTTGGATGAAACTGTCAGACTCACCGCTTGTAATATCGGATTACTCTTACATATATTTTATTTAAGTTTGATGGCTCAACAAATAATCGATTATAGCGACAAATTTCAAGAAGTAATGTACGCATGTAAAATAATCATTGAAATATTGAAAAATAAGTAAATTGCATTAATTGAAAATAAATGTATGAAAGTAAAACACATTTGTGAATAACGAATTTCATATATTTATTTGCACATAATATTTGCAAATAAATGCCACTAGTTGTTAAACGGCAATTATATGAGAAATTAATCTATGGAATGCATTAACAGTTACAGCTGCAACTGGTACAAGATTTCACAGAGATCCAAAAAACTATTGAGGTTTACATTATTGCGAGCTTCTAAACCGTGTCAAATAAAAGCTGGCAAAATGTTCGTAATGTCAATGGAAAATTTCAGCTCGGTAGGTAATATTATTTAAATAATTATTCGTCATAAAATGTTTTTGCAACTGTTTTTGCGATATCGTTTTCAGATCATACGAGCCTGCATGTCTTATGTCGCGGTGCTCACGTCATTGCAATAATAATTGTATAATAAATAATTATATAGTAGCTCCTCTAATGTGCTATAACCAAATATATTCTTCAAAAAGTTGCACATTTTATGCCGACAATTTATTTTTATGCAAAATATACTTTTTATTTTTATGCAAAATATACTTTTTTTAATATAATAAATAATATAAATATACATAGCATTTTATTACTGCATTTTATTACTGCAATTATCAATAATTGCTTAAACCAATTAACAAATTAAAACATTAGTGTTGCAGAAGATTTTACTGTGTAAGATATGTAAAAATTTTCTTAATAAATATATATATATATATATATTTATATATATATATATATATTCATATATATTCATATACATATATATTTATATATATATATATTCATATATATTCATATACATATATATTTATATATATATATATATATATATATATATATATTTATACGTTTGACTTGATATCTATGAATGGTTGATCAAACATTTTAAAAAGTAGCATTATGCATTTTCTAAATTGTACGTATCATAATGACAAACTAAAACTTTTTTGTTACATTAATTTTTCTCTGGAGTTACTTTAAAAAAATCTTATTCTTAAATTAAGGTACTAACTTGCTTAATATATTAAATATCTTTAAATCGATATATTATATAAAAATTCTTAGAAAATATTATAAATTATATTAAAATTAATTATTTTGAAAATATTAATAAATTGATTGCATTCAAATGAGAAATAATATTTTACAATTATTACCTATTTTAAGATGCTATAATAATGTAATATTTACATAATTTATATAATTTATATAATTTATATAATATTTATATAATTTGTGTAATGCAATATTTTTAAATATAAAATTAAAACAAATTATATATAATTATATATATATATATATATATATATATATATATATATATAATGCAATATTTTTAAATATAAAATTAAAATAAATTGAGACAAACTTTTGCGATAACACACAGTAAAAAATTTTGTGCTAAATTTAACATATTTCACATGTCCCAATTTATCCTCTAATTTTAATGTTAATTTAACAGAAGGTAAGTATGTAAATAAATAACACAAGTAATATGTTTAAAAATTAACACAAAAGTGTAACGCTTAAACTTTATCTGGAAATAAAGTTTATGTTAAATTAACATATTTATAATATTAAATTTAATTAAAAGAAAATGTTATTCTTACATTTTTATGATCAATAACAGAAGAAATATGTCGAGATAACATACGGAAACTGTTATAAAGAGAAAAATAACACAACTTATCTGTTCATTTTAACATATAACATATTTCATCAAAAATTCGTGCATTTACATATTAATTGTGTTGTTTTAACTCTTAGAAACAATGAATATTAACTCAACGCAGAAATGTCAAAATAACGCAATGATAATATGTTACATTAACATAAGAGTATGTTAAAAATTTAACACAAAAATTTTTACACGAGAAAATTTTAACAGAAATACAAAATGTTTTTTACCGTGTATATTTCTTATCATCCCTCGTTTAAATTTTACGAACTTTGATTACTTTCTGAAGCAAAAGATATATAACTTTGTTCAACAGACATATCTCGTCAATCACAAAGAGTTGCGCGATTGATTGAGGAAAATGACTCATTACTTATACATATGTAATACTTTGCTTCGCGATATCGTGCATTATTATGTATTTTCTTGCGGCTTTTTTGTTATGTTAGTTTCCTTTTTGATCCAAAGAAACACACGATAAATTACGCGAATAAGCGATTGAATATTCGACGAGATATTTAACCGTCTGTATTTTCCTTTGGTGGTTTGATAATGCAAAAAATGTCTTTCTACGACAATCGCTACTATTACATCAATAAAACTTTACTATCTCTCATCGGCCAATGGCCGTTTCAATCTCGACTGGAAAGTAACATAATACTCGTCATTATGTTATTTTTCAGTTGCAGTCTGACTGTTTTAGAGGTGCTTAAGATCTATAATACTAGATACATACAATAGCAATATATTAGAATCGAAACTGACCGTTTGTCCCTGATACTGTAGCTTTGGGGTTTGATAGCTGGAATAAATAATCTAAGTATTATCATGGAAAATGCTTCGCCATTACTAATAAACAGTATCATTTTCATGAAGCTAATTAATTGTTTATGCAACAAAAATAAAGTTTGTATATTACTTTCTGTCGTGCAAAGTTAATCGGTTGTAATTTTGAATCGTGCGATTTCTTCGAGCTACAGATGAAAAATCTTTTGGAGCATATCGAAGAGACCTGGAAAAGGACACAAGTCGGACCGCAGAATAAAATATTACAAAATTACGCAGAACAAAACAGAACATTAATAATAAGATATGCATGTGAGTAATTTTTGCAAGAATCTTTTTGATCATATTATTATATTTTATGTATTATATTTTATTTATATTATATTTATATTATATTATTATATTTATATTATATTATATTATTTATATTATATTTATAGTATATTTATATAGTATATTTATATATTATATTTTATATATATTATATATTAAATATTAGAGCGACATATTGAAAGTCAATATGATACTTTTTAATGTCATTAGAGATATTTATATTTTAAAATGTTCATCAAATTTTTTCCGTTTTGATATTTTTTTAAATCGTTATAAAGGAGATATTTAAATAATTAAAATAATTTCTAGTGTTAATAATCGCGCTAACAAATTTCCTTTGTATTGATGTCAATGTATGAAAAAAATTTTTCTTTTCTTTTTTTACTAAAATATCATTATTTTGGAACAAAGAAAAATATCTCGTTGCAGCTCTAATTTATACATTGACTATTTTTTATACTATGATGCCTATCATTGTCAGTGGATTGTACTTATTTTTACCTACGAACGAAACCTACACGGCTAGGTATCTATTTCGCTTCGAACACATTCTCGACGTGGACAAGTACTTTAACCTATTGATGCTTTATGGATTTATCAGTATATTCTTCATAGTATCAGTGTGGGTAGCTGCTGATGGTATGTTCATACTTTGCACGCAGCATGTCTGCGCATTATTCGACAGTATACGGTAAGACGAATAAAATTATAATGTGCCAAAAGAGATTCTAAATAGAATTAAATTTCTATTAAATAGGTATAACATGCAGCGCATACGAGGCTCGGATTTTGTGATGGCCGAACCAAATAGAGCAGACGATGAAGCGTATCATGTCATAATTGATTGCATCAAATCATACAGACGTGCCTTAAAGTTAGGTGACATCTTTAAATGTAGAGATACGTGCCATTTGACACAAGAAATCGTAGAATGCAGAATTTTTATGTAACATTAATTAGTTTGCTACTTTATATCCTAATAGCCTAATTTACATGTGCCATCTTTGTATACACATAATACACAAATACACACATACAAAGATATACAGGGTGTCCCAAAAGTCCCGGACCGGTCAAATATTTCATAAACTATGCACTTTAGAAAGAAATGTTTCAGACAAAAGTTGTATGGTTTGAAGGGGGCTATCAGATAGTGGCAATAATTTGACATGGGAGAGTCATTTGAAAGTCACGTAAAGATTACCGTCAATTTCTTAAATGGAACTCCCTATTTTTTATTAAATATTCTGGTAGCTCACGTCGAGAGCTTTCCAAAATACTATAATTAAGTTAGTTTTCATTAAGTACTTTCCGAATTATGAGGCTTGAAATCATTTCTTAATTTTACATAAACCGTAAAATCTTGTAAAATATTCATTTCTCGATTATCTTACCTTAATACTTTTATACAAAATAATGAGAGGAATCAATTGGTGTAAAGAAAAAACATAGTTGTTTTTAAGAAAAAAATATGTAATTTACAATTAACAATTACATATCTTTTTTTAAAACAACTATGTGTTCTCTTTACACCAATTGATTCCTCTCATTATTTTGTACATAAAAGTATTACATAAAAGTATTAAGGTAAGATAATCGAAAAATGAATATTTTACTAGATATTTTATGGTTTATACAAAATTAAGAAATGATTTCAAGCCTCATAACTCGAAAAGTACTGAATCAAGAAATACTTTATTATAGTGTTTTGGAAAGCTTTCGAGATAAACTACACGAATATGTAATAAAAAATGGGAGATTCCATTTAAGAAATTGAAGCTGACCTTTACGTCACCTTCAAATGACTCTCCAAGGTCAAATCATTGCCACTATCTGATGGCTCCCTTCAAGCCATACAACTTTATCTGAAACATTTCTTTCTAAAGTGCATAGTTTATAAAATATTCGACAGGTACTTTTCCGTGACTTTTGGGACACCTTGTATATATACAGGATATTCCAGATCATCCATACACCCCTTTTAAAATGAAAATAAATGGCTTCCATCAAAAATCACGAACAATTTTTAAGTAAATCAGGTACGCTCTATCAAATGGTGATATTTTCAACTTTTGATTTCGACTGAAAATACGTCATCCGAATCGGAAATTGAGTTTTTTTTTGGTGAACATGGTACTTTTTATTACAGATTCAAATTATACGTGAAAAAATAAGAAATTTTTATATCAAACGTTTTTTCTAAAAGTGCCTCTGTCAATCTTAAAATTGAAGTTCATTATTTCATCACAGTTACATTCAAGGCCAATTTTAAGATTGACAGAGGCACTTTTAGAAAAAACGTTTGATACAAAAGTTTCTTATTTTTTCACGTACAATTCGAATCTGTAATAAAAAGTACCATGTTCCCCTAAAAAAATTCAACTTCCGATCCGGATAGCGTATTTCCGGTCGGAATCAAAAGTTGAAAATGTCATCATTTGATAGATCGTACCCGATTTACTTAAAAATTGTTCGCGATTTTTTATAAAAGCCATTTATTTTCATTTTAAAAGGGGCATACGAGTGGTCTGAGACATTCTGTATACATATGTATATACATATGTATATATAATTTTATGTTAAACACATACAAGTTTAACAACATTTAACAATATTTAAATAAGCCAAAATATTTATATATATTTCCTCATTTCACATGAAGATTTTCCGAGCTGCTTTCATCCACCTACGCAACATATTTTCTTTTTCTATTAGGAAACGTAGTAATAGCTAGTAGCTTCAGCGCAGCTGAGGTAATTTTTCGATCGATAAATTTTACATGAAGCTTGATACTATTTGCGTTTTCATTTAATACGATTAATAAAGCTGTGTACTGTTCAAGTTGATAATAGCGGATCTTCAATTGGATGAAATTATCAGAATCGTCTCTTGTAACATCGGATTATTGCTACATATATTTTACCTAAGCCTGATGTCACAACGAATGACAGATCATAGCAGCAGATTTCGTGAAGTAATGTATGCATATAAAATAATTATTGAAATATCAAAAAAACACACGAGGGAATTGCATTATTTTAAAAAAATATGGAAGTAAAATCCACTTGCTATTATGATATATATGCATATATTTCATAATTATTTACATACATTTATTCATATAATTTATGAATTAATGTTACTATTTGATAAATACATGACAATTGTATGAGAAATTAATCTGAATGCATTAACAGTTACAGCTGTAACTGGTACAAGATTTCACAGAGATCCAAAAAACTATTGAGATTTACGTTATTGCGAGCTTCTAAACCGTGCCAAATAAAAGCTGGCAAAATGTTCGTAATGTCAATGGAGAATTTCAGCTCGGTACGTAATATTATTTAAATAATTATTCGTCATAAAATACAACTGTTTTTGCGATATTTTTTTCAGATCATACGAGCCTGCATGTCTTATGTCGCGGTGCTCACATCATTGCAATAATAATTGTATAATATATTTATATATGATGGAGTCTTTTTAATGCGTTATAATCAATCATATTTTTTAAAACTTGTAAATTTTATGCTGATATCAATTTATTTTTATATAAAATACGAGCTTACAATAGATAATATAAATATATATATATATATGTACAAGTATTGCAATTATCAACAATTAACATAATTCCTACTTTTAAACTTATTTTATAAATAAGAAATTAACTTATAAATAGAAAAAGAAATTAACTTATAAAAAGAAAAAAACACCAAAGTATTGGAAGATGCGCATAAATCAAAATTTTTCACATTGAAAAAAAATATATGTATGTAAAACATATCATATTACGCACATATAAATATTCTCCATTTGATACTTTCGTTTCCAAGTGCATTTGCTACCCTGAATGATCCATCAATGGTTTCGATTAATGCAATAAATTTAACGTACAAACTTCAAGAGTACAGTAAACAAGCCAGTAAAGAGAAGAATTAAAATATAGACAAGAAATAAAAGACAAGAATTAAAATATATATTGATAAGAATAACCTTTTTTTTATCGATTTTTTTATATTTCTGCTAAATCTGAATTTTCAGCAGTTATAATACATACTACTAGTATATTCGTCAAAATGTGAAGAGTTTTATAGCAATTGCTTTGCTCAAAATCCTGCAGGTACAATTTCAATTTTATGGGAATATTTTTAAAATGATGAAATATATTTTTATATTATTATATTATATAATCTTTCTGATCTTTCTATCTCTTACATTCATTTTATAATAAATTAATAATAAATTCAAAAATACTACGTCCGTTTGTAAATAGTGCATTTTGTGAGAAGCTATCTCCTCAGGAATATCAGTTTCAGGTTCTCGAAAATATAAAATTTGTCATAAATTCTTTAACAAAAACGTGATTTGAATAAACACATGACAATCGCGATACTATCATAAGAATCTATATAAATTGAACAATTTTTCGATAACGACAAAAAAGAATAACGGAGAGAATATTGCGAAGTATAGATATATAAACTATAAGATGTGACTGACTCTCTAAAATCAATCGCGACGTAAACATCACAGATATATTGGTACAATGAATATTCGATCGCCCCTAAGCCTTTCATCATTCTAGCAAGGGTAATCAGTTCTGTAAATATCTGCAATTTCTCGTGACTATATATTTCACGGACTATGTCTACTTTATTCCCTTTGAGAGAATTTTTGATTAGATTAAAATTTGCGGACGATATCGGCAATACAGCAGTCGTAATCGAGCGGTGAAAATGGATACACCAAACGATATATTTCAGTCTCGACAATACAAATACAATCGTATATTACTTTCATTACTGGGGCAATGGCCCTTTCAAAAGAAAAGAGACAGGTGGATTGTCTTTCTTGCCGTGTCATTTATTGGCATAACGCAGTTCATTTCTCAGGTACAATCGCATATTGCGATTTTTACAATATTTTTGTCGATTTAAAAAAAATATATATATTTATTTATTTATTTATTTATTATATTTATTTTTTATTATATATATATTTTTCTAATATATATATTTTTTCTTTCTCTTCTTTTTTTTAAATTCATATCCTTAATAATATATTTTTAAAAATATATATCTTTAATACAAAACTATTAATTATATAAAACTACGTGATAATTAAATAGCGAGCACTAAGAGCCTACAAAACGCGGATGGCAATGCGTGAATTGTTTCGAACATTAATTGTTCGCGAAAAATTTTTAAGACACATGCACATATGCCAAGTTACAGATTCTCTTGGTTTGAGACTTCTATAAATTTTTAAGACACATGCACATATGCCAAGTTATAGATTCTCTTGGTTTGAAACTTCTATAACACCCCCTTTTACCCCCCTGGAGAGATGTAGACAGGAAAAATATCGGGGCGAAGTCGCTGAATCGGGAATCGAATCCGAGTCTTTCGCTTGCCGGGCGACTGCTCTTACCACTAAGCTATTCAGCCCCACACCGACACTTCTCCTGTACGTTTTTATTAATCGGTGGAAATAATGAGAACACGATAATTAGCTCGACGTGTAGTTAAAAAAAAAAAAAAAAAAAAAAAAAAAAAAATTTTCGCGAACAATTAATGTTCGAAACAATTCACGCATTGCCATCCGCGTTTTGTAGGCTCTTAGTGCTCGCTATTTAATTATCACGTTGTTTTAATTATATAGAGCCGAATTATTTACCAATTTATTTAGAACTACACGTCGAGCTAATTATCGTGTTCTCATTATTTCCACCGATTAATAAAAACGTACAGGAGAAGTGTCGGTGTGGGGCTGAATAGCTCAGTGGTAAGAGCAGTCGCCCGGCAAGCGAAAGACTCGGGTTCGATTCCCGATTCAGCGACTTCGCCCCGATATTTTTCCTGTCTACATCTCTCCAGGGGGGTAAAAGGGGGTGTTATAGAAGTCTCAAACCAAGAGAATCTATAACTTGGCATATGTGCATGTGTCTTAAAAATTTATAGAAGTCTCAAACCAAGAGAATCTGTAACTTGGCATATGTGCATGTGTCTTAAAAATTTTTCGCGAACAATTAATGTTCGAAACAATTCACGCATTGCCATCCGCGTTTTGTAGGCTCTTAGTGCTCGCTATTTAATTATCACGTTGTTTTAATTATATAGAGCTGAATTATTTACCAATTTATATATAAAACTACATTTTTAAAAACAAGAGAGAAATAGGGGTAAACAGTACAGTTATTAACCACTCTACAATGATTGGCCACATTTTAAAAAATTAAAGATTAAAAGAAAATACTATTAAAATGTTTTTAATTACAAATAAAAAAATATTTAATACATTTTTTTGCTTCAAATACAATTAATATTTAATTATTTTCTATATATTACAATTAATATAAATAATGACTAAAATGACTTTGGTAACATACTTGAAAATTGTCGCCATTCAATCAAAAAACCGTAAGAGTGAAACCAACAATTTGCAAATTTTTTAATGTTTTTATGACATATAATTTTTGTTTTCGTGATAGACATGCATTAATAAAGTTTAAATTTTGTAAAAAAAATTCATATTGATGAAAATAACATACATATTTTAAAAATTATATATTATATTATGCCAACGACTAACATACGATTGACGTTTTACAACAGTAATTGGCCATTCGGCCAATGTTTTGTGGTTATGGAAACTATGTGACAGTTATTGGCCTCTTACATCGAGTGATAGATAAGACAGTAAGTTATATTTGTTATTACTAAAAAGATATATTTTTCAGCTGTAACCATATTAGAAAAGAAAAAACTTGCTGAAAAATTAAAAGAACAAAAAAAATTAGCAAGATTACAAAAACAACAGGAAAAAAAATGATGTAACAAAAAGTTAAAAAAGAAAAAATTGACAATAAAGAAAATACTGATGAAAAACCAAAAATAACAAGGAAAAAAAAGATCAGGCAATTTTAAAACCAAAAATTTTGAAAAATGAAATATTTCCAAAAAAAGTCCGTTTAGTTAAAAATAATACTTGTTAAACAAAATTTGTTTCTCTTGTTTATATTATAATATATAATAATTAATATACAATTAATAATAATGTTTATCTCATATGTTAAATATATGTAATAAAATATATATTGATTTAATAATTTTAATTTTTTGATGGCAAATAATTTCTTTGTCACTGTTTAATTATCTCATTCAATTTACTCATTCTTGCATGGATAAAGGCCAATCACTGTCAAACTGTTAGACAATAACTGTGTTAATATGGCCAATGACTATCTTTTTTGACAGGATAAGTGTTTTTTTACATAATTTTTATTAATTCCTAAATTTTTATAATGGATTTTATTTTATTATGAATCATTATTATTTTTTACAACTATTAGTAGTAATTTTTTTTTCTAAATTATTAAATTCAGGTTAATAATTCAATTTTTGTTTTGCGATCTTGCTTAAGTGACCAATCACTATACTGTTTACCCCTATAAACACATCTGTAAAATATAAAACATGTTAGGAATTAAAAATATTGAGAATTATTATTAACGACGTTTTCATCTGGCTCAAATTTAAGATACTTGCTTTAGTGACGTTACGCGGTGATCTAGATGCAACACTCGAATGCGTAGCACCGCTTTTAGTAAATTGCCTTTGCGTCGTTAAATTAACAAATTTGGTTTACAATATGAAGGGGGTATGTAGAAAATCTCGCCGTATATTGTTCTCGATAGTCAAACATATATAATATATATATATATATATATATATATATATATATATATACAAAGTGTCCCAAAAGTTACGGACCGGTCGAATATTTCATAAACTATGCACTTTAGAAAGAAATGTTTCAGATAGTGTAATTGTTAATTGCAAATTACATATTTTTTTCTTAAAAACAACTATGTTTTTTCTTTACACCAATTGATTTCTCTCATTATTTTGTACACAAAATTAAGGTAAGATAAATATCGAAAAATGAATATTTTACGGTTTATGTAAAATTAAGAAATGATTTCATAACTCAAAAAGTACTGAATCAAGAAATACTTTATTATAGTGTTTTGGAAAGCTTTCGAGATAAACTACACGAATATGTAATAAAAAAATAGGGGATTCCATTTAAGAAATTGAAGCTGACCTTTACGTCACCTTCAAATAACTCTCCAAGTCAAATCATTGAAAATATCTGATGGCCCCCTTCAAGCCATACAACTTTTGTCTTAAACATTTCTTTCTAAAGTGCATAGTTTTTGGGACACTCTGTATATATATATATATATATATATATATATATATATATATACACAATTACATTATTAAAGAAAGGATATTTCAAGCCATAGATCAAGATACTTCTTATGCACATACAAGGAGATTGGCAATCGTGGAACATTGACAGCGAATTTAAAATTTTGTACAGATTCGCCGAAAGTGGAAGAAGCATTACAATCGGTTATGCCAGTAATAACTACTAATTTTACTACATATTAAAAATAACTACTAATTTTGCTACATATTAAGATGATAGAAATTAATATAAAAAAAGTTTAGATAATATAATTATATTAAATAGTTATATTAATAATATATTTCCTGATATGTACAGTTAGCACACACAATTTATATATTTATTAAAAATTCTTTCAATTATTTGTTTTGAATTATCTTTATTAAAAGCATTATTAAAAGCATTAAATATCTTTATTAAATTATTATTAAAAGCATTAAATATCTTTATTAAATTATTATTAAAAGCATTAAATATCTTTATTAAAAGCATTAGATTAAATATTCAAACTTAATTTCAAACATTCAAAATATTTTCAAATATAATTCTTTAAATAATAATGCATGGAGTTTAGGTGGCATGTACGCTTTCGGCAGCCTATTCCCGTTCTTGGCGATAATTCCGAAGATAATTGGCAAAAATGTAACTTCCAACTATTCGACGCGGCCAGTGGGATTTCCATATCACGTTGAATATTTCGTGGATCTCGATAAATATTATTATCCCGTGCTGATTCATAATTATTTAGCCACCGCCATTCGACTCACTATCATAGTCGCATCCGACACTTGCGTGATTATTTTGGTTCAACATTGTTGCGCATTGTTTTCAATCATCAGGTATGATATAATGATATAAACGATATAAATAAATTTGAACAAAATGAAAGAAATGTATATTCTTCGTTTCATTAGATATCGGATGGAACATATACGAAAGGCCATTAAAGAAGACAAGCAGTTCGCTTTCCTCGAGGAAGATGATAAGGTTTACAAGAATTTCATACATTGCATTCGAAAACACGAGGATGCCATACAGTTAGTGCTCATATATATGTTTACATAATTGCATGAAAAACGATCGTAATTTTTTATTTAAATATTATAACATTAAAGAATAATTTTATTTAAATATTATAACATTAAAGAATAATTTTATTTAAATATTATGACATTAAAGAATAATTTTATTTAAATATTATAACATTAAAGAATAATTTTATTTAAATATTATAACGTTAAAGAATAATTTTATTTAAATATTATAACGTTAAAGAATAATTTTATTTAAATATTATAACGTTAAAGAATAATTTTATTTAAATATTATAACATTAAAGAATAATTTTATTTAAATATTATAACATTAAAGAACAAGGAGGGGAGAGGGACGGCTGAGGAAACAAATTTATCAAATTTGCTAAATAATTTTTTTTTAATAAGATTCGCGAATTGCCTGGAGGCTATTTACAAACAGGCACTCTTCGTGGAAGTCGGTTTGATTGTATCAATGATGAGCTTATCAGCTCTACAGGTTTGTATTAAATATATGTATACAGGGTGTATGATAACTTTTTGCAATCCCGAAGTGTGAAGGTAGATTGGCTCAAATTAAGAAAGAGTGTCTTCTTCTGTTTTGCGATATTCGCAATAATTAACGAAAAATTAATTAAAGAAGACCAGCCAATTTGTGCAAGTATAGGTTTTTCTCGCCACGCGTTTATATTCGCATGGATTGACTGATCTTCTTTAATTAATTTTTCGTTAATTATTGCGAATATCGCAAAACAGTAGAGGACCTTTCTTCTTAATTTAAGCTAATCTACTTTCGCACTTTGGGATTGCAAAAAGTTATCAGACACCCTGCATAAATCCGCGCAATTTTGTGCATTTATTTATTAATTTCCCGCCGTTTCGAAACATATAGGCGACCAATGATACCCTCACACCACAGGTCGCTGTTCGACATGGCGGATATATAATGGCTCAATTAATACACTTATTTACTGTATGCTGGTTAGGCCAACAAATAATCGATCATAGCGATCATGTATATACAGCAATGTAAGCCGGAATATAGATTTTCTGTCTATTAAATTTTTTAAGATGCAAATAACAAGTATATAATAATGTAACAAATAAATCACAATATTAATAAAATTTTTTAATATTAGTTATCGAGGCGAATGGTATGAATCATCATCCAAGTCTAAAAAACTTTTAAATATGATAATGTTGAGGAGCATCTCACCTTGTACATTGACTGTTGGAAAAATCATGGTCCTTTCTCTTCCTAGTTTCAGCGCGGTAAGAGCTATCATAATTTCCTTTATATAATGATCTTCTTTTTAACAAAAATATTTTCTTTTTTCAGGTCGTACGTGCATCTGCTTCGTATTTTACAGTCCTACAATCTGTACAGTAAAGTATAAAATTTTGGAAATTTCTTTTCTGAAAGGTGTAAAATTATCGATGTAAAAATATGTATGATACTCTACTATTTAAATAATGATAAAAAAGTGCTACTCACATTTATGATAAAATAATCGAAGAATATTAATATACTCATGCGTGTATTTCATTATTTTGATAAAGCATTACCATGTTTCTCACGCTAGATTTCTAAGATAATAATCATGATTCAATGAAATATAGATGTTATAGTTGTGATGTGTTGAACTTGACAATATACCGATAATACCAAAATTTTTATTACAAAATGTAAGTACGGGCTATAACATCATAACTGTGTAAAATCAATCATAAAAGAGCATTACATATCCCTATGATTAATGTTCGATCGCTTCAAACCTTTCATCTAGTAGAATCGTCAATCCGGTATATAAGCGTTGGCAATTTTTCTCGTGATTATATTTCACTCGCTATATCCATTATTTTTCATCTGTGAGAGAATTTTTTATTAATCTGAAAAATCGTGAGGCAATGCCAGCGATATAGTAGTCTCCAACCAGTGCTGAAGATGGATTCACCGAGTGATATCTTTCAGTCTCGATTATATCGACTCAATCGTGTGCTGCTTTCATTACTGGGACAGTGGCCTTTTCAACAGGATAGACATAGACGAGTTATCTTCGTTACGATATCGGTTCTTGGTATAACGCAAGCCATCACACAGGTAATCATTCGATATGTTGTGATTATAATTTATAATCACCCGCAAACCATTTTTATATATTTTTTTTTATTTTACGGAGGAAAATATTTTCTATTATTTCATTGACTATCATAAAAATATGTTTACAAAAAATATATATATAGATTTATACAAAGCATATAATTTTATTAATTAATTTTATTATTAATTTTATTAATTAATTTTATTATTAATAAATTTTATTAATAAATTTTATTAATTTATTTAAAAGGGTTATGTTGAAAATTGTTAAATTTAATTCTGCGTTTATATTTTTTGTAAAATGTACATTTTGCATCGATATCTTTTCTTGACGCAAATGATTGAATTCAAGGTATTCGCTTTAGTAACATTACGTCACGACTTAATCGCAACGCTTGAATGTATACCACCCCTCATGGTGGATATTGCTTGCATCGTTAAGATGATAAATTTAATATGCAATATAAGAAAGGTATGCATACACAATTGGTATATCAAACGCGCTAATTTCACATTTCTAAATGAATGAAATTTTAAGCCATAGATCAAAATACTTCTTATAAGCATACAAAGGGACTGGCAATCGTGGACTATCCAAAGCGAATTCGAAATTCTGTATAAATTTGCGGAAACTGGAAGAAGCATAACAATCGGCTATGCTAGTAAGATATATGGAATAGTTAACAATTTTAATTTTTGAGATAGTTAATTACTAACAATTAACTTTTATGCGTAGACTTATGTAATAATTGTAAAAAAATTAAGATATTAAAAATTAATTAAAAATTAATTTAAATATATGCTTCAAATATAATTCATTTCTCAGACGGATTATCTTCAAATGCTCCTAATTTAAGTTTTAGTGCGTTAAAAATCTGAACATAATTTTTTTCTAAGCATTGCTTAAATATAGGTGGCATGTATGCATTCGGCAGCCTATTTCCACTAATGGCGATAATTCCGAAGATTATTGACAAAAACGTGGTTTCCAACTATTCGACGCGACCAGTAGGATTTCCATACCATGTCGAATATTTCGTAAATCTCGATAAGTATTATTATCCTGTACTAATTCATAATTATTTAGCCACCGCCATTCGGCTGACTATCATAGTCGCATCCGATAGCTACGTGGCTATTCTGGTACAACATTGCTGCGCACTGTTTTCAATCGTCAGGTATTTGATAATAAATTGACTAATTGTAAGCAAAATGAATTTCTTCTTTTCTGAATTTCTTTGAAAAATGAATTTCTTCTTTATTTCGTTTATTAGATATCGATTGGAACATATACGAGAATCTATCGAACAGGATAAAGAACTCGCTATGCTCGAGGAAGATGATAAGATTTACAATAATTTTGCTTACTGCATTCGAAAACACGAAAATGCCTTGCAGTTAGTAATTAAATAATTAATAATTAGTATTTAATTAGAAATTAATTATTAGTAATCGTTCGATAATAAAGGAGAATTTAAAACTTTTTAATTTACATATTTTAAGAAGAGATAATTATTAAAGGTTTTCTTTGAATAAGGTTCGCCAACCTTTTGGAAACTGCTTATTCAAAGGTGTTTTTCATAGAAGTCGGTTTAATTATAGGGGCTATGAGTTTGTCAGCTTTACAGGTTTGTGCTGAGAAATAAAGAAATATGTATATATATGTATGTATATATATATATATATATATATATATATATATATAGAGTGTCCCAAAAGTCACGGACCGGTCGAATATTTCATAAATTATGCACTTTAGAAAGAAATGTTTCAGATAGTGTAATTGTTAATTGCAAATTACATATTTTTTTCTTAAAAACAACTATGTTTTTTCTTTATAGCAATTGATTCCCCTCATTATTTTGTACATAAAAGTATTAAGGTAAGATAATTGAAAAATGATTATTTTACTAGATATTTTATGGTTTATGCAAAATTAAGAAATGGTTTCAAGCCTTATAACTCGAAAAGTACTCAATGAAGAAATACTTTATTATAGTATTTTGGAAAGCTCCCCAGATAAGCTACACGAATATGTAATAAAAAGTAGGGGATTGCATTTAAGAAATTGACGATGATCTTCACTTGACTTTCAAATGACTCTCCCATGTCAAATCATTGCCACTATCTGATGGAACCCTTCAAGCCATATAACTTTTGTTTGAAACATTTCTTTCTAAAGTGCATAGTTTATGAAATATTCGACCGGTCCGGGACTTTTGGGACACTCTGTATATATATATATATATATATATATATATATATATATATATATATTGTGAGCACATTGTGATAACATAATGTACGATTTTGTAAGTTCTAGTTATGATTAAAATCGTTTCGAAACTTTTAGGCAACCATTGATAGCTTCACTCCAGAACTCGCTCTTCGACATGGTGGTTACATAACTGCTCAATTACTGCATTTATACATCGCATGCTGGTTAGGGCAACAAGTGATTGATCATAGCAGTCGTGTATACACATCGATGTAAGCCAGAATGTAAAATTTTTGTACACAAAAAGTTTTTTAATGTCACAATTAAATGCAACAGTAAAAGAATAAATAAAATGTAAAAAGTTTTTATTACAATTTAAAAAATATATTAATAAGATTTTTAATATTAAGATACAAATTTTTTACGTCTTAATATTAGCTATCGAGGCGAATGGTACGAATCATCACCGAAATCCAGAAAACTTCTGAACGTGATGATGCTAAGAAGCACTTTACCTTGCACGTTAACTGTTGGTAAAATCATGGTTCTTTCTCTTCCGAGCTTCAGTGCGGTAAGATATATGTTGAATTTAATCTACATAAGAATGTTTTCTATTTATTGATCAGAATATATATATTTTGCGCATTTCCATTTTCTAGATTGTACGTGCGTCCGCTTCGTATTTCACCGTTTTTAGATCTGTACAGTAATTGAAAATTTTTTTGAAAGGTATAATATTATTATTGGTATATAAGAATGTTTAACATTATGTTGTCTAAATTATGATAAAATATATTTATGCAAAAACTATTATAAATTAGGATTAATTTAGGCGCTTCGATTCTGATAAAACATGTGTGTAGTTTTCGTGACTAACGAACATTCAGGAAATCTTCAATAATAAAACCTAAATATTCTCTTGATGAAAGAAAAAGCATTATTCTTCAAAGCAATCAGCATTAAACGACTGTACCATTTCGACTCATATATATAATGTGACTTTTTCTACATATGAGTAAAATTTTCATGTCTCTTTTATTTGAGTCAAATATACTACGACAATAATTTCAATCGAAATAGTCCTTTGGCTTATGTCTCTTGTATAATTACATAATTTACTAACATGATTTTGCAATTATAAGAATTAATCTTCATTAGTCTATATCGGTCTTGTGACACAAATATGTTATTGACATGCGTTTTGCGTGATGTACGGCAATTGCAATTTAAGCGGAATTCTTTATACAGACAACCTATTAATTGTCTGCGACAATTAAAGTTAAATAAAATTCTTGATGAGATATTTGCAATCTATGCGTCATTCTTGCAATAGCAACGATACATAAAAGACAGTATGGATAATATCAACCAATTTGATCAATTCTTTAAAAATTCGCATTACGACTTTATTCGCCTGATACTAAGTATTAGCGGTCTATGGCCTTTTCATACGTTAAGAAGACGCTGGATGATATACCTCGCAATGATACTCGTACTCGGACCTTTTACATTTGAGGTAAATTAAAGACAAATGTTTTGTCACATTTTCAAGTTTTGTATACTTTTTAATTTTTGTTTATGTCTACTGTCTATCAAAAATTATTGAATTTAAATATTACAGTAATAATTATGTTAATTAACGAAATTTATACTAGAATACATGTATAAATAGATTTATATATCAATTTTATATTCTATTTTAAATATACTTGACAACATAATTTACAATCGGACAATTCAATTAACATTACATGTTATTATAATGTGTTATATATGATTATTATACATTTGCCTGATATAAATCATGTGACAAATATAGATATTGGGATTAATGAGTATTGGGTATGATACCTTTGGACTAATCGATGCTTTGCTAATATTATTTCTCAATATAGTGACCATAATTAAAATGATTTATGCAGTATATACGTTACCAAAAGTGGGTAAACAAAAGTCATAAATGCCAATAATAAAAGTACAGACGAAAACATACATGATTTTTGATCATAAATTTTCTTTGTATAGATAAAATTGCTTCTAATAAATATGCAAAAATATTGTCTTTCTTCAAAGTTGGATGAAGAGACTAAAATATATAATTCGCATGGGTTATATGGACGAAAATTTGGATACATTTATATAAGTGAGTTTAATAATGCAGTGTATTATGTGCATAATAATATAGTTCCGGAAAAACAATAAAAATTTAAATGGATTTTTAAATATATTTAAATAGATTTTTATATAAATTCGGTCTTCTAAATAATTTTAAACGACTGAATTTATATAAAAATCTATTTAAATCTTTATTATTGTTTTTCTGTACTTATACACATACATATATATACATACATATATATACATATATAATTTATAATAATTATTGAAACATATATAATTTATAATAATTATCGATATTTTTGAAAAAGCATTTCACTTTTTATAATAATGATATATTTATTTGATAATAACCTTAAAAATTCGACGTTTTATATAAATTAGCTTTGTTAATCGGTCACATCATCATGTACCAATCTGTAACATTATTGACCAAGCTCATCAATACAAAATCCAAAGTGAAGGATACATCGTCAAATAAAAAAGAAACGCAAAGAATCCAAACGGGACTATTTTATCTCGTAAATTATATGATCGATGTAGACAAATATTATGTTCCAATTTTCATACATATGGCTATATGTGAAATATCTTATGTGCTTCTAATAGCTACATTCGATATCCTGTATGCAACATTGGTTGAATACTGTTGTGGATTATTCGAAAGCTTGAGGTAAATATATAATGAATCTTGTCATATGTATAATGAATCTTGCTCTAAATCAAAGAAAATTTTGTTTAAATTTTGTTAATACATTTTTTAAATACTTGGACACTATAAAATTTCAGATATAGATTAGAAAATGCATTCAATTTCGAAAACAATAATGGTGGTTTAATATTAACGCAGAATACGTCTTATTCAAATATCGTATACTGTATTCGAAGACATATCGAAACGATGCAGTGAGTATATTTAAATGGGTACATTTCTCGTATAATAATAATCTCAAATAATATCTTCATGCATTAGATTTATTGCTATTATGGAATCGATGTACAACATACCTTTCTTTGTATACATGGGGTTTCTTGTAATATGTTTAAGTATTGCAGGATTTCAGGTATATACGTTTGAGATGAAATTTCTATGACACGTTTTACATAATTAATATACATAATACAATTATATACATAATATAATTTTACATGATGCACAAAAATTATTTTATATAAATTATAGAAAGTAATTAATTTAAAATTGAATATATGATATTATCATATATATGTTACTCATATTATGCTATCTTTTTTCAGATGATAACAAACACGGAAAATATAAATAATTTTATAACATATTGTATTTATATGAATGCATTATTAATCAATATATTTTTTAAAAATTGGCAAGGTCAAAAGATCATAGATTCCAGCGAGAAGATATTTGAATCCGTGTACGTTTTATACAGCATCTAGTAATAGCTTTTTATAATATTTTTTTATGAAATCGCCCATCAGATTACAATAAAAATGTAATAACACAGACGTCAAATAAATACATGAAATTATATATAAATACATGGAATAAACCATAGAAATTATATATAAATACATGGAATAAACCATGGAAATCTTGCGAAATTTGCAGATATAACTCAAAATGGTACAATATGCCAATAGCAACACAAAAGCTTCTTATAATGATAATGATGACAAGTAAAAAACCATTGAAACTCACTATTGGCAAACTCTTTGCAATGTCATACATAACTTTTTACGCGGTAAGTATAATTATTTCATGAAAAGACGTGCTTTATGAAAATAAAAAAATTTGTTTAAGGTAATACGCACATCATTATCATACTTCATGCTATTGCGCTCTCTACAATAAATATTTCAAATACAATTCATATTTATATTAATATTTTAATAACTGAAGAGACGTTACAGTTTATGTAAATAATTTAATAAAATCCTGAAACAATTGTTATATAATTTTTCCAATAAAAAAAGTTTTTTTAAAACAAAAAACAAATTTAATTTTTTGAAAATTGTCATACAAATATTTATTGACATGAACAATTTTTCATAATTACTATTAGTATTTAACAGTAATTTTTTTATAAGTTATAAAATTTTAACAAATAATATCAATATTTAGCAATTATTTATGATGAAATTATATAAGTCACATATTGATGATATAATACTTGAATAACTGAGACTGCATGCAATAGACTCGAAAACTTTTATTAACAGCAATAAAATAAACTAATTGAAATACTTTTCACTTTTATCACAAGATGTCATTTCTTTCAAGGCAAAAGAAAAATTAAAACCTACTAAAAGAAATTTGTAGAATAATATTTTCTATAATTTTCAAATCATACGATTCTCTTTCATAGAATTGATTGAAAATTTACTTGCAACAGTACCAAGCTATAGAAAGAATCGATAAAAGTTCCTTTTATTCTCAAAATTCTGTCTTTCATCTAATGCAATCAATGTTTATATTGTTTCGCAATCTGCAAAAGAAATACTACCTTTAATCCTCGATACTTTTGAATATAACCAACTGCGCAATCGATCGCAAATAGCTTTTAATAGTAGTAGCTTGTTTCACAGCATGAATGTGTTGACAACATGTGCATGTCGCATACACATGGCAATCAATATTAAACGGAATTTATATTAACCTTATAAAGATAAAAAATACGACAAGTATATAAAAAAATCAAAAAATTTAAAAAAGTGATAAAAATAAAATATTTAAAAACCGATATGAGATCTATAATACTATTAGCCAAGTACAATAAATTATGTGATATTAATTCGTAATCGATACTAAATGAATTAAAATTACTTTAATTCCTAATGCATTTTTTATATGATGTACATAATTTAAAAAAAGCTTTACACAAATTCTAAATCGCATAAATGACCTTCAGATCGAAGTAAGATATGAAAACTTGGCGTGATGGAAATCTTGCGAAATTTGCAGATATAACACAAAATGGTACAATATACCAATAGCGACAAAAGGATTAACTTACGCGCTTTGATTCTGATAAAATATGTATAGTTGTCGTAATTAACGAACATTCAGGAAATTTTCAACAATAAAAACCTAAATATTCTCTTGATGAAAGAAGAAGCATTATTCTTCAAAGCAATCAGCATTAAACGACTGTACCATTTCGACTCATATATATAATGTGACTTTTTCTATATATGGGTAAAATTTTCATGTCTCTTTTATATGAGTCAAATATACTACGACAATAATTTCAATCCAAATAGTCCTTTGGATTATGTCTCTTATACAATTTACAAACTTTTTACATAATTTACAAACATAATTTTGCAATTTGAAGAATTAGTCTTGATTAGTCTATATCGATCTTGTGGCACAAATATGTTGACATGCGTTTTGCGTGATGTACGGCAATTACAATTTAAGCGGAATTCTTGATACAGACTACCCATTGATTGTCTGCGACAATTGAAGTTAAACAGAATTCTTGATGAGATATTTGCAATCTATGCGTCATTCTTGCAATAGCAGCGATAGATAGAAGACAGTATGAATAATATCGACCAATTTGACCAATTCTTTAAAAATTCGCATTACGACGTTATTCGCCTGATACTAAGTATTAGCGGTCTA